CAGCCACGGAGGACAGATGTGTTTTATTAACGTGCAGCCCCTCTCTGCAGCTCTGTCTCAGTGACTCAGCCTGGCTTTTGGGCCCTTCTGAAATGAGCCACGGACAATCCCTTCCCAGCAGCTTCTCTCTGCTGCTGGAAAACAGATTCGGGCACATCAGGGGGAAAAAAAATAAATGAAAACAAATCAAAGTTATGTTCCTCCATGGGAATCTTCCAATTTCAATTGTAAATCATTTTGGAGAGGGATAAAATCAAATGTTTTAGTGGTGGGATTMGTCTCTCTGTGTTTAGAGGCTTCAAAGCTGAACATGCCCCGATCCCAGGGGAAGGACAGTGATGAGTCCCCTGGGTTTTCTTGGGCAGGTCCCAGAGGGCAGAGGAAACATCCCCTGGAGATGTTCCACGTCTGGAGGGAGGAATAAGGGGATTTCAAGAGGTCTCCTTCCCGCAGTCCTGAGGGAATTTGGTGGCATTGAGTGGAGCAAGACCAGGCTGAGCCGCCGTGTGTCAGACATCAGAGAATCCAAAGAGGGGCCCCCTCAGCCAGCTGAGCACAGCTCATCGCTTCTGGAGGCTCCTATAGAATCCCAAAACAGCCCCTCCGCATATTGGGAAGGGATTCCAGTCCCCCATCAACCCCCAAAGAGCCTTTGGCACACTGACCTTCACTGTCCACCGCTGCCACCAGTGCCGAGGGACACACGGGGGGTGATGATCCCTCCCAGAACCCCCTTTCCAGCTGAGAAGAGCAGATGGAGCCCATCAGCCGGGCGGTTTTCCCAGGTTCATCCCGGCTTTGACAGCCCCGGGAGCCCCCCTGGGCCAAGCGCTGCCCTGCCCGGTAGCCAGCGGTGCAGTTCGCCTGGMAGRCACTGGATGGGGCTACGAAACCAAATACGGGCACAGCTGGCACGGCCCGGGGGCAGAACGGCCTCTGCCAGATGTTTTGGGGTCTTTTTTCGGGGGTGCCAGGCTGGCGGTGCCACAGCCGCGGTGCCATCAACCCCGGACACCGAGCGAGGCTTGGCAGATCCTGGGCAAAGCTCAGGATCTCTCACCTCCCTTCACCTCCCAAAGTTTTATCATATTCTGGGTGTGGTGATGGGGAGGGACAGCGGGAGCTGCTGCCTCGCAAAGCGCCGGGGAGGTTTTCTGCTGCAGCTGCAGGGTGAGGTGACCTCCCTGCCTCCCACCCCGCTCTTTAGGGATYTGGGACACGGGCATGGGTGGCAGRGCAAGAGGGAATGGCTTCAYTKTGMAGAGGGCAGTTYGCCTGGCAGGCACTGGATGGGGTTACAGAACCAGTTATGGGCACAGCTGGCACTGCCTGGGGCAGAACAGCCTCTGCCAGATGTTTTTGGGTCCCTCCCTGTCACACCCACGCAGGATGCCAGGCCTGGCACCCGTGGCTGTTTTCCTGTTCATGAACGGGGGCGTGGGAGGCATCTGCTTGAGGGAAGAGAAAACAGAATCTGTAAAATCCAACTCCCCATTGGATTGAGTTTTACAGCACTGGCGTCCTCTAATGGGTAAAAAGACATCTCTTATCATGGCAGAGCTCTTTGGGGTTTCTACCCAGGTGTGGCTGATGCAGGAGTTGGAGGAAGGAGGGATCTGGGCTCCATTTGGCAGCTTAGAAAGTGAATTAGGATCAAAATAATTATTGAAACTGTCAGCAGCAGCATTGGAACAAAGTTTTATATGCTGAACCCTCCAGACTGTTTTCTTGAGGTCACAGGGGTCACTTGAGGTCACAGRGGTCACTYRAGGTCACAGGGGTCACTCAAGGTCACTGCAGTCCCCAATAATTGGTCCAGGGGTCAAATGAGGACACGGGGGTTAATTATTGTGAGCCTGGGCCAAATGAGAAGGGGCACTTTGGTGTAAAGGGTCAGACAGTGCCAGCCCTGCCCAGGGACACCCAARGCCTCAGGGTCACCCCATGGCCTGCAGTGTCACCCATCATTTACCCTCTGTCCTGTCAGGGGAGTGACAGGGGTAATTAGCTTTATAGCTATTTATTATTAATTACTAGTATTAGTTTATTTTATTAGTGTTTATTATTCTCTCCTGTAAGCATTAGCATTTATAGTATTGCTATTAGCTATTAACACCATTATCAATAAATTTTACTGTTGGGATCTATTAAATTCTATTTATAGTATTGTCTTTTAGGATGCTGTAATGTAATCAGCTCTTACAACCCAACTATGATTATTTGTCAGAATAAATGACAGATTTATTACTATTGGTATTTATTAGTGTATTCTTAGCTGCCACRGGAGCATAAATGTGTCCTGTTGGAACCTGCATGGGATTGTGGAACGTCCTTCCCAACCTTTTATTTGTGGGATCAAACTTCAGCTTTGAATCCGTATTTAATTTTCATATGGGTACAAAAAAAACCTTGTAAATATTGGACAAAAAAAAAAAAAAATAAACCCTTTGAGCAGTGTTGGCTCCCAAAATCATCCCAGGGAGCACAAAAACACAGCCTGGCTCCTCCAGCTCCACCATCCCAATGTTCCTCTTATTCTGTTCCTCGTTCCTTGAGAGGAGGGACCGTCCCCAGCCGGCTCCAACCTCCTGTAAGGTGGACAGAGAGCGAGAAGATCTCTCTAAAAATCACCCCAGCTCTGCAGGAATTTCCCCCCAGAACAGGCAGGAAGCCCCTGGTTTGCAGCCCAGAGCTGCACAGAGCCTGGTGAACCCCCCAAACCCGGATTTTCACCCCGATATCAGCGAGCCAGCAAATCTTTGAGTTCCCTTCCAACCCAAACCACTCCAGGATCCTTTGCCAGCTCCATCAGTGGGATTTTCCCAAGTTTTGTCCCCAAACCAAGGGAGGACGGGCAGATCCAGCCCCAAAGCAGAGCCTGAGCGCAGCGAGAGGCGCAGCCCCGCATTGCAGATCCTGCTGCGGGTAAGGGCCAGCCCCAAATTCCCGGGAAGCTGCTGCCAAACCTTCCAGCAGGGCTCTCAAAGCAGCCGGACCGCCTCGGCTCCAGCTGGCCGAACACGCTGGCAGCAGCGGAGAGCGAGGAAAAGCCTCTCCTATCAAAAAAAAAAAAAAAAAAAAAAAAAAAAAAAAAAAAAAAAAAAAAAAAAAAAAAAGGAAGGGAGAAGTGTCCATAAATCCTGAGCCAGTTACTGATGGAGAGGACTCCCCTCCTCCTGCTCCGCACGCTGCGGCACAAATTACGGCCCCGACTTCAGCGATGAACATCTGAAAAGGCTGTGACAGATGAGAGCGGCGATGATTTACCAGCCATAAATCCCGCCAGCKTAGAGGTGTTTTTACAACCAAGCCCATCTTGAATCCCCTCTGTTATGAATACTTATCACTCCCAGACACTGCCACAATGGAAAGATTTTGAACGGCTTTAATAGAGACGCAATAAAAGCCCCCGAGGCGGGCGAGCGGGCGCGCTTTGATCCCTCCCGAGGGAGGGACAGGGGCTGAGAGCTGCTCGCTGTGCTCGGGGCTTGGAGGAGCAGAGCTGGGCTGACCCTGGCTTTAATGGATGGATGGCATCGGCTCAGGGCTGGATCAGCTTTCCTAAAGCTGCTGCACGGTGTAATTAACACGGCAGGAAAGGGGACAGGGGACAGGGGACAGGGGACAGAGGACAGGGGACAGGGGACAGGCTGTGACATCCAGCACCTCTGCCGGGGATTCCTCCTGCAATTCCCACATCACGCCTGCAGAGATTTAAACCAAGGTTTGTTGGTGTGTTCAGCTCCCCCTGTGACCCTCCTGGAGGCGGTAATGACTGGTAATCAGTCATTTTTTTTTTTTCTGGTAATGGTAATTTTTTTCTGGTTTTCTTTTTAAGCTGGTAATGACGAAACTGGTTCAACGACTACCGCCCAACGAGCAGGACAGGGACACCTTTCCTTGGCATTTCCCGAGCGGGACAGGGACACCTTTCCTCGGCATTTCCCGAGCGGGACAGGGACACCTTTCCTTGGCATTTCCTGAGCAGGACAGGGACACCTTTCCTCAGTATTTCCCGAGCAGGACCGGGATGTTGTTCCTCGGCATTTCCCGGAGCTCTGGAGATCTCCCAGCTCCAGGATTACCAGCCATGGCTCTCACTCCCTCCCAGGTTAGGATTCAGCAGCCCCAGATCTCATTCCCTCTTCCTAAACTGCCCCTATACCCCCCCAAAATCATTCTAAGTGYCCAGGCAGCAAAAGCAGGAACAGGGAGGCGCCCACTGCAAAGGGCACCCGGAGCTGGGCAAATACCTCCGGAATAAACCCCTCCTTTCCTATGCACACGGACTTATCAGGCACAGSCAGCTGATAAGGAATTCAGCAGATGGAGGGAACAAAAGCGATCCCAGGCTCCTTGTTTTCCACGGCTGAGCAGTTCACATCCAGGGAAAACACCAGATAACACATCTGAGATGGGGCTGATGAGGGGTCAATCCGTGCGGGGTAATTAAAATAAATTAAAATAAAAACAAGGAGCAAGACGAGATCCTTCCTAAGAGAAACGTGGCCACAGACCCCTCCTGTTGGGCTACCAAGAGAGAAACCAGCCCTGCAGGGCAAGGGAATGGTTCAGCTTGGCCACACGAGGACCTGAGGGGAATTTCTGAATCCTGGGTGGAAGATGAACATTCCCAGCCCGTTAACCTAAGGGAACATCTTTTTGTTAATAAGATAATACTGAGTAATTGATTTTTAAATACACTGAAATCAAATGTCCCGAGGCCAGAGCAGGATCCCAGCTCCGCCGTCAGCTYGGTGGCCGCTGGCAGAGAGGGAGAGCACAGGGGAGAAGAAAATAAAAATGAAATCTCCTTCATGTGTTTCTCTGGCTCCGGGGCAAACGCAAATGTCTCTGTAAAAGGCGCAACAATTTTTCTCCATTAAAAAATAGATTATCAAAAGGGAGAGGCTGATGGAGGCACCAGGGACCACTGGGGTCGAACAGGCAGTGTGGAGAAGCATCTGCTTAAAACACAAGACAAGAAAAAAATTGGTTTTTAAGATCATTTATTCCAATCTCTCTYTCTTTCTCTCTCACCCCATCCTTCACACAGCCCCGGTCGAGGAGGGTTTATGGCTATTTTTTATTGGATTTTAATTGTTTTTTATAGAAAAATACACATGCAAATAATATATACTTCAGCGCTGAACCTTTTTTTCTTTTTATGTTGGAAAAAATAATAATAATAATAATAAAGAAATGAAGGAGGATTTGGGAAAGACCTGAGTGGAGACAGAGACAGGGATGCCATGGGGATGGGATGCTCCAGGATGCYGAGGTGCTCATGGGCCAGCACATTTTGTCCCTCAGGAATGTGTTCATTGGGATWTGGGACAATTATCAGCCCCTCACCCCAACAAAAACCCTTCTCCTGTAACTCTGCCCAGGTTTGGGAATGGCCAGGGGAAAACTGAATGCTGGATCCATCCTTCCTACAACACCCAGAACGGAGCCAGGTCCCAACCCCAGCAGCAAGGGAAGCCCAGCTGAGGTAAAAGCATCACTGAGCCAAGAGCTACATGAAAAAAAAAAAATATCCTTTTATGCTATTTCCTATGGGATACAGCACAGGGAAAAAGGRATTGATGGGCTCTTCAAACCTGGACTTGTGCTCCAGGATGAAGTTTTTGGGGTGAGGCTCTGTTGGACCCTTGGCTGTGCAGGGCTGGGGGTTTCTGTCCCTGTGGGCTGCTCCTTGCAGAGGGGAGCAGTGACATCCCCGTGTCCCCAGTGATGTCCCCAGCATGTCCCCACGTCCCCAGCCTCTCTGCAAACACCAGGGTCCAAGGGGATAAAGCAGATCTGCTGCGTGGTGGGAGCTGCCACCCCTGGAGCAGAAGAGGAGATGTCCTTAGGACAGTTTGAGGTTTGATGGATGAGCAGCTGCAGCCAAGAGCTGGGGAAGGAGAGGCCAGAGAGGAGCAGTCCGGGGAAGGAGGACAATTAATCCACTGCCACGGGAAGGCAGGAGGCTTTGGGRAATGTCCCAATCCAGCAGCATCCCCACTCTGACAGGCAGCAGGGACAGGGAGGACGCGTTGTCCCCTCCCCAGCCACGCCGAGCTCCTCTGCCTCCCCTTCCCGCAATCCCGCCCAAGGCCATGGCTTTTTTCCTACTGATCCAGGCTAACGACATGGAGCAAACTGCTCTCCCTTTGCCCYGAGGTACAAACCCACACGGGCAGCACAGGGAAGGTTTCCCCAGGGATGGATTTCCCCCCAGTCCCCAAGGAGCCGCACACCGAGGGTGGCGGCAGCGCTCTCCCAGTGCCAACTCTGCCTCCAGCAAACCCCACATCGCCCATGTCCCCAGGAATGGTGACAGCCCTGTGGACAGCACACAGCCTGACTGAGCTGGATGAGGTCCCTGCCTCCCCTCCTGCATCCCTGGTGCAGCTCCAGCATCAGCGAGGGAAAGGCAGCTTTGGACAGCTCTGGATTCACCACCAGACACCAGCATTTCACCGGGGGGCTGCACACCCAGCGCCTGGGGGCTGCACAGCCACGCTCCTCCTGCTTTCCCCTCGTGTTTTGTATTGATTTTAACCAACAAAAGTCACTTTTGGGACCGTCTACTCCAAAAACAGAGGCGGGAGGGTCTGGCGAGGGCGGGGGCTGTTTGGCTCCTATGTCTACAGGCTGCCCTGGGGCAGCTCTAGAGTTTGGTGGATGGTCATGCAGGTTTTATTGCAGCTCGTGTGTGCGGTTGGTTTTGTCGGTAGCCCAGCTTCAGCCTCAGGTAGCCCCGGAGGTGGGTTCCTCTCCGCTCCCCACCTGCCYGGCCGCCGTCTCTCCGCCGCCACACGCGGCTACTCCGCGGCCATCTGCTCGATGTGGTCACTGAGCAGCTTGTACTGCTCTGGGGAGGAGAGAGAAAAGGGCTCTGGGAGGCTGCTGAACCATCCCAGCCACGCTCCATCCCTGCAGGAACCCGGCAAGGGCGTGCACATCCCCCGGGCTCTCCCCTACCTTCATCCAAATTGCCGATGGTCGCYTGCTTCTTCAGGAAATCGCTGCAGAGCTTCTTGCTGAGGCCGAACGCCAGCATGTTGTGGATGAAGGTGCTGAGGGAGGACAGAGATGCTCTGGGTGAAAAAACGGCCAGGCTGCCCCTTCTTCCCCCAGCATCCTCCTCCTCCTCCCCTCCACAGCTCCTTGTC